TATATATATATATATATATATATATATGCATATGCAGTGTTTATATATATAAATATATATATATATAAAATTACAAGCAGTGTTTTATATATATAAATATACATATTTATAATTACATGTAGTGTTTTATTTTATATATATATATATGAATCAGTTGACATACATATACAGGTAGTATATTTGAATCAGCTGACATTTATCTATAAGTGAAATGACAGTTTAGCTAAATAAAATATGCTGCAAACACTGGAAATAAAGAGATGTAAACAAAGTCCCTGCCGTCTCGAACGGCAATGATCATTTTCCATTTTTGTACCTCCACGTAACCAACACTTGCTACTGTTCAGTGCAGATAAGAATAGAGAGCATTCTGCAGTAAATGGAACAACAGATGAATATATTCTTTTCAATACATGAATGATTAATATTTGAAAGAAATTTCAGCAGATGTATTGAAGGGGGCAGCGTCAAAATAATTCAGATGAAAAATGCTGTATCATTTGAAAACTGGCATAATCTAGCGCAATGATTCTGAACCAGTGTACCGTGGTGCCCTGAGGTGTCTTGAGACCCATTCAAGGGTGTTGTGGGGTGCCATGCGATGTTAGCACTGGCAGGTGTGAAAACATGATTCAGAAGGAAAAAACCCAAATTTTCCAAAAGAAATCCCACAGTGTTAAAACCATTTTGACCTGTTGTCGTCTTTCGGAGTTCTTTGCAACAGAACAACTGGTCAAAACCCAAGTGAAAGCTAAGAGATGACATTTTCTGAGGAGAGCCTTGAACCTAAGGAAGGTTGAGAACAGCAAGCAGCATTGCCTGGTGGATGTGTCACTGGACTGGGAGTCAGGCGACTCCAATTCTATTCTTAGCCCTGTATATAACTTCTTGTATGACCTTTAGAAATATCTTCCCCATTTTGTTTCTCGTCTCCCTCTTTGTCTGCCTTGTCTATTTGGATTGCAAGCTCCTCCAGCCAGGAAATGTTACTCACTCTGCATTAGCACAATGGGATTCCAATCCCAGTTATGAGCTGTATGCACTACAGAAATACAAACAGTAAATCCATTGTGAAAATTAATTTGCTTCTCTGAATACAGAAAGTCTTTTACTAGATGTTTGCACAGCATTCCTGGCAATGGGGCTTCAAGCCTGACTCGGCATTTCTGTATTACACTTATAGTAACGAAGTGTTATTGTAAGTAGGAAGAGTTGATGTACAAAACCTCTCCTGGATACCCCAGTGTTACCTTTTCTTCCTTACAAAACAAGCAAAACCTCTATTTCTTCTTCCAAAAGTACTTCCAAAGTATGCAGACACACAGTTTAAATAATCACATTTCTCAGTTTGCCTCCTAATAATTTTCTGAATAATTACTTGATAACAAGTTAAAATGCTGGTATATTTTTATACTGCTGTTCTATTCTAAAACTTTCTATAAATGTGCACTATCCTTTTCTGCCTGAAGTTTGCCTGAATGCATGTAAAAACACGATTATATTATCGTTAACCCTTTGCAGCAGAACCTCACCCCCCTCCCAAAAAAAAGAAAAGAAAAGGAAAGAAAAAAAATCAAATCTAGCAGGCATTTTCGATTTTTGCCTCCAAAAATCAGTGTCATGACTGAAAAAGCAGAAGCCCTATCTTACTGTATATCATTTCAGGCTTCTCTAGCAAAAAAACACAGAAGCATAAAGCAAATGATAATAATTTAGATACCCTGAGGTTTGTCAGTTGTTTAAAGATAACTACATAACCATGAATCAAAGTTATTTCACAGTGACATAACATGTTCTCTGAAATGTGCAATTTATCATACATTTTCCACCGGTTTTTTGGAAGAGATAAGGCACATGTTTGTTTGCCCAAAGCACTTAGCTACCATGATTTACTTACTGGAATTGTCATATTTTTTTGTATAAAAAAGTGACTGTTATGTCTTGCCAAAAAGCACCAATAATAATCAGAATTCATAAAACTATCACTGGAAGATATGAAAAACAAACAATTCTCAGACTCAACAACTTAGTCTCTGATGTTGTACACGTTTCTGGGATTATTTTTTTTTTTAAAGAAGAACGCATTGGGACTCTGCTTCTCATTTTCCAAGATTGTACTTATTTTCAAGCAATATGAAAAAAGCCTCTCTCTAACTTTACTCTGCTCCTGATGTTCCTCAAATAAACTGGAGAATAAGCTTGTAAGTAGCTTGTCAGAAGACTGCTCGAGTTTATTCAGCAAACGTTTTCGACATTAAAACTTAAACTCATAAAACCACTGTGTAAATGGCCATCAGCTTATCTCATTTCACACCCATTTGTTCCCCAGGAGTTTTCCTCAATGCCTTTTCTAGTATAGTAAAGGGGGCTCAGGGACTTGCCGTTTCTTCTGCTGGAGGAGATTGAAAAGAAAAATTGATAGGAACGTGGCAATGATATTCCTTGCAAATCATTTATCACAGGCACAGTGAAAATGAGAATGGCATTATGTAGGGTTGGAAAGGTGAAAAAGTGGAGAAAGAAAAAAAGGAGATGAATGAAAATAACACAGCAAATGGCAAAGCACCAATAGGGTAACTGCGGGGTGGTGGGATGAGTGGGGACCGTCTTAGGAGGAGCGGGTTGCAAAAATAGTAGTCACTGATGCTGCCAACTAGTCTGCTGTGACTGCCACCACTGCCAGCCTGGCTGTTGCTGCTGCCACCGCCCAGGACACGATACTGTCTGGCTATGCATCTGCACAGAAGAGAAGATAATAAAGAGGGAAACTAAGTTGATGGAGGGGGGAGAAGAAAGTAGGAATGAGTGAATGGTCGGATAGATTAAATAAGGTGAGGCAGAACAGAAAAAGGAGAGAACAAGTGTGAGAGGCTGTTTTCACAGGTTGACAATGTAAGTTCAAGCCAGCATTCATTTCACTCGAGAGAAAAAAAAAAGTTAGAGGGATCCTTGGCTGGGAGTGAGCACTCTCTCATTTCACCCGGTTACAGGGCTGTCTGCTTAAACCTTCCCACATCTCCACAAACATTTGCCTTTTGTGCAGGTCCCTGGTGGGTCTAGAGCTACAGAGGGGATGCCAGGGAGATTCTCTGTTCATACCTAGCTTTTATGGTTTAATGCTTTGAGAAAAAATGTACTTTTTCCAGTACAGAGGGGAGATGACAGTGTTGGAAAAAGCATATCCCTTATTCTATTAAAAATACTAGCTCTTAAATTTCTGAGAACAGTCTGATTTACATCCAAAAGAGCATGATGCATAATTTATTCACGCATGTACACACACATACACACACACACATACATATGAATATCTATACACATATCTGTATCTCTCTAGATAGATAGACATGTTCTGACAAAACTAGCAGAGTTAAAGCGTTGAGATTTTATATCTATCTATCTATCTATAAAGCATTGAGATTTTATATCTATCTATCTATCTATGTCATCATACATGAATCAACACTGAAAGACTCCAGCCCAGGAAAAGGCTGGATGTGATGTAAGAGAAATGTTGCCTTCTTCCTTGTGTTGCTCAGTACTGACTCCTCTGGCCATTGCATTTACAGGGTTGTTTGACCTCAGAAGAAGCTGCATCTTGCTGTCTGAAGCTGACTGAGTAGGTGAGA